ATCACCCAGTTAGTACCTTTACAGCTACCAGTCCTGGCGAGAGATGTTGCTATTCACTGTATTAATGAATTTTTATTGAATTGATATTCAATTATTTTTTGTGAAATTACTCCACTAGTTTGTTATAATTATTAATACAAAGATCGAACACTCAGAAAAAATTCCTTCGATCCTACTGCTTGTCTAAATTCAATGAAGTCAAGTAACACAAAATTACATTTGTTTCAAATTAATTCATTATTCAAAGTTTACTGAATGCCAGGATGTTTTACTACAGTGATATTCAATTATTTTTTGTGATATCACTCCTGTAGTTAGTTATAATTTTATTAAGATAAAGATCGAACGCTAAGAAAAATGTAGTTACAATTATTTGGTTATTAATACACACATACTATACTTAAACGTTTTAAGAAGCACTAACAAGGTAAAGCTTTTCTACCTGCCTACAAAAACGATCAATGGCTTCAAGATAGGTAAATTATACCAAGTACTCGAAAAGCTGGCAAAAAAACAGCAATTTTAGAAGGAGGTTCACTGCATGCGTACGAACTTACAACTAGGAAGAGGAAATGCTATTGTTTTTGATCACACGTTTCCATTGCGCCACGACTCTACGTGTAGAGTCACACATAGAGCATGCAAACCGGTTACTCGGTTAACCGAAAAAACCGAGTAACCATCTATTTTAGAACTTGATTTTCAGCTAAGGAAAATCCGAATTTTTGTGATTTTCTTTACTTCTCTTTAGCGTTTTTTTACCTGCAGTCTATTTCAGAAATAAAAAGGTGACCTGTTAATGAAATTAAGCGATAGTTATTCACGTGTGTCCGGTTTTTAACCCTAACTTTGGTAACAAACTCTACATAGAATCAGACTGAAAAAGAAGGCGTTTAATTGCTTGTCCCTAAGTATGCATATTAATTTCACATTATTAGTGTTGTTGATTTGCTTTTTGTTAAAATTCCAGAATCTCATTGAAGCTAAATGCGATAAATAATATAAACAATCTACAAAACACGGATTGGATGTTTTTTTTTAATTTTCCGACACTTTTAAATAATTAATTGGGTGGCAATAGAAAAATATCCGAATATAAAAAACCCAATTACCGGGTAGCCAACAATTAAAAACCGGATTTCTCTCAGAGAAAAGTTTAAGGAGACTGGTATCATGACTGTGGCATCACAGTACATTTACTCAAATATTTTGTATGCCCGTAAAAATATACATAATTTCGTTAAGAAAGAAGATATCCATAATATTAACCTTAGAACTAAGTCCAAACTCATGGTACCACGATTTCGTTTAACTAAGGCGAACGATTCTTTTATGGGGAACTGTATACGTTTTTCAATAAGATTCCGGAGCATATATTAAGATTACCATATCCTAAGTTTAAAACTTACATTAAAAGTATTTTACTTGAAACGTCATATTACAAAATTGTAGACTACGTGTTAGGTAAAGATGTATGGAAAGACAACGTGAGTCTAGATTCCACACAAATATGATTCAAAAAGTATTCTATAGCATTTAAGTTTATTAGAAAAGAGCAATCTTTAGAGTTTCTTCTTGCTCGTTCTTCTCAAGGAGGTCAGCGTAGTGAACGAGCAGTAGCTTAAAATAATCTCAGTGCAGAGTACTAAAAAAACCGACCTCAAAAGTACGTGGAATTACGTCTATTTGCTAAGTTTTATTGAAATATCCCCTAGTTCGCCACTATACAAAACTTGACACTGGAGATAATAAAAATCGGTTCTCACTACTCGAAGTATATTGAGAGAAAAACGCCTTGAATTGAAGAAATAGCAAAATCAAGCATTAACGTAATTGCTCCTAAATTAAAATTAGGCGCTATTTATAAAAATGAATCTTCATGCATGAACAGCCATCCTTCGAGGTGGATGATTTTCTTCAAAATGAAATGGGACCACTATGGAAGTACCCCCTTTCCAACAAAAAAAAGAATCATGAAAATCGGTTCACAAATTTTAAGTTATAGCGTAACATACATACAAAAAAAAAGAACACAGTCGAATAGAGAACCTCCTCCTTTTTTGAAGTCGGTTAAAAAGACGTTTTCAAGTGTAAAAATTTTACCTATGGAAGAAATGATCGCTTGACTTCGACTTTGACCGAAAAAAAAATCGGTTTTCAAAATCACTCTATTTTACATGCCTTGCAAGTTTTCACACAACGTACTTCAAAGTAAATGAAAATTAATAAAACAGTTACATATCGCACTACGAAGGAAGGCGCCGACTCCTCTCTTTTACAGAAGGAAGACACAGTAAAAGCGTCACGATTCCCTGGGTCAGCTCACGTGTCGCGTTTTACCGGAACAACCATTGACTTACAAATAAATGGACGACGGGTCTAATACAAAAACCACGAAAAAAAGTCCCAAGTCAACCTATTTAAGCGTAGTGACATGTAACGGAATATGAAAAATCTAAAACGTTGAATTTATATTGTAATGTCATCGCAGTACTGTCTAATTTTGCTTGCTTCGCTGTCAGTCGAACAAACGAAGACTAAAGCGTGAATGACGCTCTGTATACGATTTTGACGCCCTATAAGTTCGGACACTTTTTAGCGCGGACCTGACGTCCATATAATTGTAAGTCAATGGGAACAACGTAATTTTTAAGTCAATCACTTTTGTTTCCGACTTTATTTATTTATTCATTTATTTAATCTGGCTCTCACAACATTGAGTACACTATAACTATGCAGGTATACTATAGTTTTAAACTAAGTGTCCCATTACTTAAAGGACACAGCATACCCTAAAAGAAATAGAATAATATTTGGTTAGACATGACGATACAAAAGTGCAATCATTACAAACTTAACTATAAACTTATCACATCACTTTCTTTATCACAGAAACGGAAGTACAATTTAGATCAATTTCACTCTAATACTCCTTATACAGTGTTGTTGCTCGTGATAAGAAGCAATATAGCCTCAAATTTGTGCGACATCTTGGCCTTTA